ATGTGTTCTCTTAAATCATAGTCTCCTGGTAATACGGAATTTATCATACCTTCAAGGGCTGGATATCATGATGCATGTGTCTAACACTGGCCACAACGTGTTCCAAGAACTCGTATGTTGACTCCAAACACGGATTGATGGCGTTGTCCTTAAAGAACTGTACAGAAAGATATTCCGATTGATCAAGTGGATCCGACAGTAGGAATTGATCCGCCTCAAACGAGTTGCCCATGGCTGCCTGTTTCTTCTGCCTTGCCTGCATCGCTTTAATCGCAGCATGTCCGTGTCCAGGCATGTCGAATTCCGGAATGACCTCCACATGCCTCTCTTCAGCGTATCGTAATATCTCGCGATAGTCCTCCACCGTGTAAAAGCCACTACCAGAGTTGCCTGTCCCAGGCCCTGAGCCGAGCTGAGATCCGAGACACTTCTCTTCCTTTATATCATGGCAACGTTTCGATCCAACCTTGAGAAAGAAGCAAAAAAACCATAGACATCGCGTAAATCATAATGTGATTTTCTTTCTGTCGAAGAGAAAATTAAAAGTAGTATTTTTTTGACTTAGTTTTGTCATATGACAGCAAGTTGCAATCGTGTGTAGTGTTCTTAGATAAGTCCTCTCTATCTGCATTCAATTTATGTTATGTTATCTCATCCCAGTCAAAACGAGTAGGGTGCAACAATTAATGTTTCGTTCAGTGTTCCCATTTTCACCCCAGGGACCCCTTTTCACTTTTTGTCGGTCCCTTCCACCTTCCCCCTCCCCCCATCCCCCCCGCCCGATAAGAAAGGGCACACCGACCCTTGCTCCCCTTATTTTTGCTTCAAGAAAGTCGCACAGTTTGGCTACATCATCTCAAGCCTTTTTCCCGCTGTTGAATCCCTCACTGTTTATGGCTTCCATTTTAAAGTGATATGTCAATTGAAAGCCTCGGGTATCAGTCCGCGGTGGTTCAAATGCAGATACCAGTGAATAAATCCTTAATCAACGCATGCATTTTACCAATTAACAGCATAACTTGTACAATGGACAGGTAATCACTACATAACGTTATCTCCTCTTTGAGCATCCGGGATATGTCAAACCGACCTCGGTAAGTTCCGGTAATCCGGGAATCTCAAGCCTCCATCCTTCATCGTCAGTGAGATGAAAGTGAAACTTGTTTAGTTTGTACATGGCCATGGCTTCAATCATCTTCAGAATCTCGCTCTTCGGCATGAAGTTGCGTCCAACGTCAAGCTCCATGCCACGATAATCGTACCGCGGTGCATCATTGATAGTCACGTGAGGCACCAGGCCATCTGGTTCGGACAGGCTTAGTAAGGACTGGACTCCATAAAACACTCCCTTTGCTGAGTTGCCTGTTATGGTGACGGTATTTTTTATAGCATCAACTTGAAGACTGTATGCCTCCCTGTTGTCGTTTTTAACGCCACCGATTTTGACTTCGCCAAGGTTCAAGTGTAACTTTCGAAAAGCGCTCAAATAATTTAGCTGGAGTCCCAGTTTACCTGCAAATAAATTGTAATGAACATCAGTTTAGCGCTCTTATTGGTGAACCACAGATTACGATGCCATTATCACCAAAGTTGTGGAATCTAAACAACTTGGAGCCGGGAGGCAACGTGGCCGAGTGGTTAGGGCATCGAGGTCGCGGGTTCAAGTCCCGTTCTGACCACTAAGCTGGAGTTGTTTATTGGTAGACCCTAGATAGTTTAACTCCTTGGTCATGCTTGTAAGTAGCCACCTGGTTCGCCTTCCGCCAGTTGTTATTTTTAAGCCTATCATATTTAACAATAGCAATAGTTTATTGACACTCCCGTGATGGGGCTTTTCAGTGACAATACAAGAGAACTAAACTAATTTTAATTAGTTTAGTTCTCTAAACTTAAAAGTTAAAAAGAAGTGGTTTACAATTCAATTGAAAGGGAAATAATGCGATATTTGATCGATTGATATATTTGTTTTAAACTCCACATTATGCATTATAATTATGTGACTTTCTAAATATATTATCTGGTAAATCATACAAGGGCAATGGGTATTCATATAATAATATTAAGGGATTGAGGGAGTAGTTAATAGCAAAAGTGTAGCATTAACCTTCATATTTTGTTAGTGGATGTATCTTAAAGTATATCGTGATACGTGAGCATTCTTTAGTGAAATTTCTTGGATTCTTATACCACGTATATATAGAAGTTGAAGGGTGCTTACGAATATCGCACAAAGAAGGGTATAATTTGCTACTTTCGATTTTCACATGTTGCAGAATTCATTTAAATGGGCCAAATATTCATAAATAGATGGGGTACGCATTGTCCTATATGACATTGCTCGGAGTAAAACCTTTGACGGTAAATTTATGAAATTACCTGCCAAGAAACTAGCTTCATTGCCTAAATCTGCACCAGCAATAATTGACCAGTCCCCAGTCCCCAGGTTGATCTTTTTCATCTCATCCAAGCCGATGACCTCTGAGGGACTGGGCACGATCAACTGACCAGGTTTCTTCAAATCTGTTATGTCGTTAATGGAATACCGCTTCTGAGGAGTGTAAGGGTCGTATCTATCAGAGGTTATACGCTTCCATTTGTTCGGTGCATCAAACGGCCCAACAAAAGATAAACCTTCGCCCGCGGTGCTCGTGATCGTGCGAGCCTGCAATCCTTCAGCGGCGATATACCAGTTTGGCATTACATCTGTTCTTGCCACGTCCCAGTTTTCAGCGTCAAAATCTACCACCAAGGACTGGAACCCAGCCAGGCCTGAGAAGGTCGCAGTTGGTTCAAACTTGTGTTGACATCCGTCTATGTGCGTCACCTTGATACCATGACTACCCGGAATGACGTAACCATCGGGATTGTGTTTTGTGTGAGCTGGCTCGATAACCCGGATGTGGCAGAGATAGATGGCCCAGGGTCCATTGGGAATCGGCTTTGAGCCCGTGTTTTCTAGGGTCATGCGGACACGGTAAGATTTCCATGTGTCTTGAAAATTATCGATGACGTCATATCGAATGTCAAGATGGTTCGCCACGTAATCCAATGTCGATTGGTCCAAGTTTTGGCTGAAAGCTGAAAACAACGACGAACGAAAACAAGTTCTTAACGGCAATATAACCTTCTGGTCCCCGGGTTCGAAGGGTGGATAAAGCTATCCACCGTATAAATCACTATTCAGTGGCTAGCGTGGTTTGTTTTGATAACACTTATCCACTGGATAGCGATTTATCCGGGGGGGATAGTGTTATCCAACCTTTGAATAACTGGGACCTGGGGCCCGTTTCTCGAAGGTCCCGAAAAGTGTTCGCACCCGGAAAGCCATGGCAAAATCTCGAATCTTATGATTACAGAGCTGTTTTATTCACAAATTCTTAATATGAACAGAGGTTCTCTTTATACAAGAAGTTTCAGGCGTATGCACTTCTACGTTTTTAGATACAAATGAACTGATAATGGCTTAACGGGCCCGAAAAGTTTCCGAGGCTTTCGAGAAACGTGCCTCTGGTCTCTAACGACTCCGGTAATCTTGTTTTCTCGCTGACAAGGTGGATTTTAGTAAACTGTTGTTAAACCCTGATATGAAACATCCCTTTTTTAATTCCCAAGGTTTCATAATCAAAACTATTTTTTACTGCTCGTGATATGTTTTTCTTAGGCTAGGTTGGTTCTAAACACCCAATATGCTTTAATTTGTATTTATGAAATTAGGAGGATCTTTTCAGTACTAGTCTCAATAACAAATTCCAAATTTTCCGTCTTCTCTTTCTTCCATCTCCTCTAGTATATCAGTTCATTCATTTCGGCAACGTTTAAAAAAGTTTTAGAAGAGGTAAATACCAAGGCATCAACATAACATTGGCGTTAAATTTCTAAATTCAATAAAACAAAAACAACTACACAAGGGTTAATTACATGCACTCAATTCCCAACTTATACTTAAAAACCAAAGCAGTGGCCCAGAGATTAAGTCTTCAAATCAAAACATTAAGACTAAAGAACAAACCTTGGATAATCAGTCCCAGTAAAACTACAGCTGCAAAATGGATTTTCAGTTTTCGCATCTTGTCCCTTGAAGGTGAGAAGCAGAGGAAAAAGAGTGTATGGACGTTGTTCCTTCTTAAAGAGCAATGCACAAAGATTTACATCTGGTACAGGCATGAACCGCAATACTAAGGCCCTTGTAAGCTAAACAAACAACCTGTGACATTGTGTATGTAATATATCAAACATGAGAGACAGTGTTTCATCGGGATATTCAAACACCGAAAAGAGAGTTGAAAATGCGATGCGCAGCGGAGCATTTTTTATGAAATTCGAGGTGTTTGGGTAGCCGATAAAACACTGGCTCGAGTGGTTGATATATCTTTTCAAGAAGTGATGCTAATTAAGACTGGGTATCCAAACTTCCTTCTCGGTTGTGATTTCCTTTATTCTAACTTGATGAATTATTAATGTGTTTGAGAAGACACGTACGATTTCTCTTCCCTCCCTGATGTCGTCAAGAAGAAGCGACGTCATTTCCCGGGGGGGGGGAACTCCCATATAAAAA